AAAAAACCCCAGCCTTACCAAGTTCTAAGGATGCTATAAAAGTCAGCAAAGCAGCTAGGAACATGTTCATGGCTGCAGACAAAATTTGGGGATTTTCTCCGGCAGTGTCCAAGTCCGCAGCGAGCTCGACTGCGCCTTCCCCTTGATCCAAGAGCTCAGCAATCTGTTTACCAAGAACAGGCTCTCTTAGTTGTTCAGAAGGTAATATTCCAGCTTGAGTAAGGCTCCTCCTCCTATCTTCTCCATTTGGTTCTTCTAAAGGTGTACCTGTGGGGTGGGGAGTGGAGAACAATGTGGAAGGAAGGATCTTAAGGAAGGAAAGCACTCAGATTTGCACTGGAAGAGAAATGGACTCAAACCTTCAAGAATGGCCAGAGGAATTGTGCACATAGTCCTGTGTAATGCGTCTTGGTCACTTGGCTTGAACACACCAGAAATGGCTTTGGTCTAGACCAGTGATTCTCAAACTCTGGTCCTCAGGTGTTGGACTTCAGCTCTCAGAAGCCTCAGCCATCTTTGTCAATGGGCTGGGATTCTGGGAGCCAAAGTCCAAAGCGCCTGCAAAGCCAGATTTTGGGAATCATTGGGTCAAGACTATCCAACAGACCACATTTCCTCTGGGACTTCAGATCCCCAGGAGAGCAAGTATGACTGGTGGATGACACAAGACAGAACCCTTAGGTCAGAGGTCGGCAACCTATGGCCCGTGGGCCAGGTCTGGCCCGCTAAGGCCTTGGGACTGGCCCGTGGCCGGTCCTGCCGCCACTGCCGCCGCTGTGCGCTCCAAAATGGCGCCCTCACACGTGCACGTATGCACACAATGATGGGCGTCGCGCAGAGCCATCCCCCCCTGGCCCCAGCAAAAAAAAAAAGTTGCCGACCCCTGCCCTAGGTTATGGAACCCATCGCCATACTTACCATATTCATCACCATACTCACAACTTTTGCATTCTTTTGCTATTCTCACACACAGCCTGCTTATATAGGTCTGTTCTTGAACCCTCCACTCCATGCATCTGAGGAAGCAGACTCAAGTCTACGAAAGCTCACGGTACCACCAGTCTCAAAGGTGCTACAATATCCCTTTGCATACTGTTTTTCCAAACTAACGGGGCTATGTCTTAGAATTCTATATTGCACAGTTATAGCAGTGCGATACCACTTTAACTGCCATGGCTTCATCCTGGGATTT